TCCTTGTTTACCACTTGATGGACGTACGTAAGGAAACGTCATGCGTCACACGTGTGCTCCACCCAAGATTAGGCCGACAGCTTTTCAATACAAACCACTAGGAGTCGCATACGTAAAATAGAGTCGTTTTTGGGAACTGTAGAATCGACCTCTATGGTCGTTTTTCCAGGAGGACGGTCTGTCCAGAGCGCAGTCCGGGATCCGCTCATTTAGCCAGGTCTCAGTGAAGCAGAGGACACAGGATGTGGCGAAGTCCTTGTTTCTTCTCATGAGCAGGCTGAGTTCGTCCATCTTATTGCCCAGTGAGCGTACGTTGGAGAGAAAAATGCCGGGGAGAGCCGTGCGCGCTCCTCTCCTCCTAAGACGCACGAGCAGGCCTCCTCGCTTTCCCCTTTTACGGGCCCACACTTTTTTGGCTAGAACATGAACTAAATCAGCCGCAGATGCCAAGAAAACAGGCAGTAGGTCCATGGGAACGGTGGGTCGGATGTTCATAAGTTCCTCACGGGTGTAGGAACAGCCAGATGCACAGTTAAGCATTAGAGGTGGGTCAAAGTTAAAGCATAATTTACGATAATGGTCGACACATGAATATAAACTACAATAGCTCCCTAAATCCCCTGGACAGCGACTGGTACGGGAGTGGTGAGCTCCTGGTTGCTCTCACGTCACTGATTGAAGACACCTGCTTTAGTATGTAGCCTTCACTGCTGGATGACGCATCTTTGGGAAATCACATTCATCTTTCATTATTAGATCTGGACACTTTGACAGCTGCTCATGTTTGATGCTCGTCCCACGCTGCACCTTCCAAATCAGCCATTACCTTTTCTATACACATCCTTTGGACACCTTCTTTCTTCTCCTCCCACTATTATCTTCTTTCGTCCATGTCGAGCGGTGCACAACACGCTTATCAGACATGCCTGTCGGATCATTTTTCCTGCTCACTGGTTACCATGGTAATGGCAAATGGAGGGAGTAGTGCCGTAGCTCGAGGGCGGGAACCACATCCTGAGCAATTAAGAGCAGTTTGGTGCCCTGATGAGCTGTTATTTGCCACCTTGTCCATTGGCTGCTTTTCACTCTGCTCTCTGCCCCTTGCTCTGTTCTTTAAGCCAGGGTAAACGCACAAAATACAAGTTTATTAGACTTCATGAAGAGTAGTCTGTGCTTTGTTACTAAATCTTGATCCTAAATAAATATAGGGTTTACAGTAGGGAGGGTAGAGATTACACGACTTCAAAATCAATACATCTCATTGAAATTTGAGAATGTATCGGATTTAACAAACAGAAATCCCCAGATCGGGTTTAGCACCAGCTCTTAGGCCTGACCACATTCTTTGCTTTTTACAGCAAGTATTGATATTTACAATTTTCCATAGAAGAAGCCAGAGGGCATTTTGGGGCTAAATACAATTTGGCTCCAGCCCACATGAGCGAACGCACATTCAAATGCCTCAAGCTTTACCTCATGTTACCCACACTCACGTAATACCACTTACTTATTATTTATGACAACGGTGTGCATTGAATTGTCCTATTTACCGTTAGATTTTCTCTTCTCTTCTTTTACAGTCTGAGCGAGCGTATTCATTCCTGTCATGCTCATAACCGTGAGCTATTTGAAATCAATGGGAATGTGTTATTAAAAAGAGGATAAAAAGGTCACTATGGAACCTTTGATAAATTGGCTACAAAGCTGTCTGACCTCCTGTTTGGATAATGAGACCCAATACTCTGAGGAAAGAGTCTGACGCTTTTTAATTACTGCTGCTACAGACTAATGCTGAGGGCGTCTAATTTTGGCAAGTATAAGAAAAAGACTGCATTCAATACTGTTGCGGCTAATTTAGTTTCTATTGTCCTACTTTTTGGGCTAATCGTGATTTTAATTGATCATATTTGTATTGCTCTATTTTTGTGGTTCGGGAGGTTTTGGTCTTGGTGCACTGTATTTAAAATCCAGTAGGGGGCGCATATCAGGGCGTGGAGTTAGCCTGGGTTCATAAGGAAACAGTTTTTGACCGCACTTCTGCATTTTGATTTAATTTCTAATTTGTTTTTTGGGAATTTGTTCTGTCTATTGTTTATTGCTAGCTTGTTAGGATTTGTTCTGTTTATTGTTTATTGTTAGCTTTTAAGAATGATCAATTTTATTTATTTTTTTTGCTGCTACTAGACACCTGAATTTCTCCTTTGCGTATCTATAAAGTATCTATCTGTCTATCCAGGTTTAGATAGATAGATAATCTAGTGGATTTTGTGGAACCTCATGAAATCACCTCAATCATATCTGTAAATCTGGCCATTCATCATTGCACACCTTGCACGTCAAAAACAAAAAGATGTAGATATATGTGGAAGAAAGAGAGTGATGCCTTGAGCACAGAGAAAGTTGTGGGAGGGAGGTGTAGGGTCAGAGAGTGTTTGGGCCTGTGTGTTGTCAGAGTGGGTGTGTGTTTTGTGTTGTCTGTCTTGTACCATCGGCGTAAGGACTGTTTGTACTGTACTGTACAGTGAATTCTGACATACTGTACATGCCACATTTGGCATAGATAGTATCACTCAGGTTGTGCAAAAAGACAGGAAGTGTGCAAACATGTTAAAGGTAAAGGTTCAAAATGTTGTCTAAGATATCTTATGTACAATAAAAAGTGGCTTTAGCAGTGCAGGTTTTTTCACTACATCAGTGAGAGGCTGGTGCTTAGGTGACATCTTTGACTGCCCCAACCCAGAAATGGATTAAGGGGAAGAAAATGGATGGATGGATGGATGATATTGTAATACAGTGTATGTGTGATGGGGTCGGAATCACATAATCTGCTTCATCCAACCCCTATTTGAACCAAGTTTATTAGTGTGTTATAGTAATATGTAAAAATGAGGTTTGAAATAATTGAATAAATAACATAATCAGAAGCTAAGGTCCAGGCTGACAAAGTGACTACAGTGGGAGTACATTTTTTTGGGTCTCTACAAATTCAGTTTATAATCGCAAATCTTCTTTGTTAATGCGTGGAGAGCTGCTATACGTTTTGGAAACAGCAGCTTAGGTCCGGTGGAAAAGAGAGTATGTTTTTCGAGGTGGTGGGAGGTGAGAGCTTTGACTGAGGAGGTACATCTGTCAGGAGGTAATGTAAATGTCCTAAGGCGAGTTCAGGGAAGATGGAAACCTCACAAGCCGGAGAATGACTTACACTCCCCCCAGTGCTGTGCCGAGGAACAATAAAAGCCTCGTATTTCAGGAGTTAATTAAACCTTATTGTCCAGGGATAAGGACTGTATGAACTTTTTCTTTTTTTCATATTAATTACAGTATCTTCCAATATGTTGGATGCACGCTGACTAATGTGTTCATAATTGTTTGAAAGTAATACGGTTAATTGATTTTCTGACACAATACATGGGAAAATCTATCGTGTAATTAGTGAGAAATAAATACAGCTTTAAACTGCTCGGAAAATTTGTCACTGGGCTTAATCACTTTTTCAACGCAAGTGATGGCTTTTCTTGATCGGGAAGACCTCCCGGGAAATATGTGTTGTAGTTTTGCATTAGTCAAGAGGGAAGTTGGGTGGAGGGAATGCGTTTTTAAATACAGGGAGTGATTTTGAGCTCAAAGATAGAATTTCACCAAATTTGTCACCAAAATGAATGTCAATCAAAAGACAATTTTAGATTCAGATTAAGAGATCCTTTATTCGTCCCACAATGGGGATTTGCGCCTCAATTATGAAACTTGTGTACGCCCAAATCAGGGTGTAAATGAGGCGTACGCAAAAAATGTACACTTTATCTGGACGTGGGACGCACAAAATATACGTACGCCAAGTCAATAGGTGGTGTAAATGTGTACGCTCATTTGAACCTTTGGCACAACACGCCAAAACACGCATGAAATTCAACAATCAACATGTTCCCACTCTCCATGAATCAGAAAAACTCTAACACTCTGGAAACACGCAAATTTCGAATAAATCACAGTTCATGATACGTTCATGATGAGGACCCTCTTCTGTTTCTTTGTTTTTAAATCTGACTTGTATGCATTATTTTTATCTGTATTTTTTTTTTTTTTTTTTATGTGAAGTGCTTTGTGATCTTGCTCTGTGAAGGCGCTATATACAAATACACCTGGCTTACTTACTTACTGTGTGACCGTCTATTTCTCCGTAAATCTGAGGCAGACCCTGCGTAATTACGCACGGCTATTTGTTTTGTCTCATTCACCTCTGGCAAAGCTACGTATGTCTTCATTAGTTTTGTGCATAAAGCCTCATAAACGCAGCGACGGTAGAGATATGGTCAAGCGCTTTTTTCTTTTGTGGGAACGGGCTCACGGGCAGTGCTCTGCAGGGGGTCTTGATACTAGGGAAAAACGCTTATGTATGATATAGCAGGGACAAAATAATACAATAAAACTGAATATAAAATCAGTGCGTGTCACTAACAGGCCTTCTGATGCTTCCAACTAAACTTGCTGGCCAACCTCCATGCTGAGCTGTCGTAAAAACGGGGCGTTTTCTGAAAATTTGCAGGCGTGACTTTCATAAATACACTGGTTTTCACGCGTATCTCACACATTCATAAATCCCACGTTGAGTCCGGCGTAAATGGAATATACACCAAAAACATACACCCTTTTCTGCGCAACTTTCATAAATGAGAGCCATTAAAAGCAATTATAAGTCAGTTTATGTATTCGTTAGAGAAGGTAAAGTTGAATATTTTAGCATATCATTTCTCAATATCTGTGTATATGAACATGAGTTGGGGTCTTTGTTTACTTTAATTTAAAGCGAAAGCTAGAGATGAGAAATGTACCATGCTTTGAGTCAGACCTTCTCCGCATTAAAAATAACTTAAGATTGACTTGGTCTCGATTCTTTACACCTCCTGCGTAACAATGGCTTCAAAACCCTTACATTGTCGACTACTACTGACATTTTTCTAAACTTTCTCTCTCTCTCCCTCTCTCTCTCTCTCTCTCTGTAGGCGACGCTCTTCTTAAGCACAACGGGATGAAGTTCACCACCAAGGACCAGGACAACGACCACTCGGAGAACAACTGCGCCTCCTTCTACCACGGCGCCTGGTGGTACCGCAACTGCCACACGTCCAACCTGAACGGCCAGTACCTGCGGGGCCAGCACACCTCCTACGCCGACGGCATCGAGTGGTCTTCGTGGACTGGCTGGCAGTACTCGCTCAAGTTCTCCGAGATGAAGATCCGACCTACGCGCGACGTCGATAGTAAATGAAGGAACGGGAAAGAAGAGGAATCCTGTTTTTTTTTTTTGGGTGGGGGAAGGGGAGGCTACGATCAGAAAATATGAATGGATTTAAGTGTCTTCACCTCTCTATATTCAGCCGAAGCATCGACATTTTTTTTTTTCATTTGCAGCATTTTTTCTATCAATCCTCCTAGTGTCAATACGGATGTTTTTTCTCACCAGAGGATCCTTCAAAACAAATGCAATCTCTGAGCCCTATTATTGTCATCATAACGCAACTCTGAGCCCGCACCGTCTAAAACAGAGAATCGTTGAAGTCTTTGTGATCTTAGTACCTGTACCATTGACTGTATATTAGGAGTGGACTGACCGAGTGTTGCCGTAACCCCCCACAGTGTTTTGCCGAATGCTGAAGAGGCTGATTTGAGCATTGCCTAGCTGGAGCTTATGGGCACTTGTTCTGACAGCGTTAGCTTTGTATCGGAACAGGGGCAGACATGTTGCTTCGGTTAATAATAAGGGAAGTTGGAGTTTCTCCCGCAAATTAAATTGGTAAATCCTTATAGCTCATATCTAGATTTTCAAAGACGATACGAAAAATTAACACTAGGTCCATAGAGAACGCAAAACAACAGATTTTTTGAAGGCCAAAAATTGTGAGTGTGATATAAACTGAGAGGAGTTAACTTTTAAAAGCAAGTCGATAGGAGCAAGCATGAGAGGAGGAGCAAAACTTTGTCCACTGATGGGATTCATCTGTACTGTTGATACAATTTGTTCGCGTTAACAAAAACATGTAGAACAGGACATAATTTCACTAGAATTCAGCCGGTCTGTACTCCATTACACCGTAGCCAAAAAGAATGACATTGTATAATTTCAGATGAGCAACGAAAAGGTTAGGGAAGGGATTAAGTGTCAAGAAATTGCATGGGGGGGGATTAAATACATGATCTCATTCATCTGACTTTAGCCATTAGGGAGCATATTGGGCACTTTGTCTGATGTGGCTGCCAGCTGAGCTCCGGCCAAGTGATGCAGCATTCACAGATGGTTGTGCAAAAGTAGTGTGCGTGCTTTTCTGTGCCCTTGTGTGTGCATCACAGAGAGAGATTGACCGCCTCAGATCTCTCACACTATCAGTTTCCTGTTGGAGTCACGTCGAGCCGGGCGATGAATGGAAGGCAGCATTTACAGTGGCCAGACACAACATGATGCATGGTGGACCCACTGTACAGCCCTATGCACCACCACGGTTTACGTCCAATCTCTACAATCCCCAGTGCAGCAGTATCAGCAGCTTTCTTATCAATTAAGTTGCTTCTCATTGGCCAAGCTTTAGGACAGGGGTCTCCAAACCTTTTGCAAATAGAGCTACTTTTATAAAACAGAAATGGCAGAAAGCTACTGTACACGGTGGCTGGGTTGATAGCACTCTCGCTTTGCAGCAATAAGGTCCTGGCTTCAAATCCAGGTCAGAACAGGGTTTTCTGAGTGGAGTTTGTATGTTCTCCCCAACTTTCCTCTGGGTGCTCCGGTTTCCCCTACCACTAAAAACTTGTTCAATAGGTAAATCCTCCAGCTCTGGTAGTCCTGACCAAGCCGAGCATCAAAATCTGTAGATGAGTCCCCAGGCGCTGTACTACGGCGACCACTGCTCCTGACAGAGGCCCCAGTGGCATCAGGATGGGTCAAATACAGAGGATGAATTGCCCTACGCCTCCTGGGATAAATAAAGCCACAGGTTGGAGACCCCTGCTTTAGGATTTACCCCATACAGTATGTAACAGTAGTATTTTTTTTTTTCACACAAATGAACATAGAATTGCTAAGAACATTCATTACAAAGTTTGTTATGTGTAAAAATGACCCAACAGACCAATTCTAAGCTATAATAGTCGCAAACAAAGTTATATTTACTTGCTGACCATCAGAGGAAGGCTAGAAGCACAGAATTCTGTATAGACAGGTCCAGGTTCTGGCTGTCAGTAGACCTTCATAGCACCATAGTTACTGTACTTTTATTTTATTAGATTATCTACAATAGTAAAACTACTCTGTGTTGCAGAACATGTCTATACTAAAAAGGTTACAAAGAAAACAGAGACCTGTGAGAGGATTTTGTGTAATTTACATTTCTCTGTCTCACCATGTTGACAGTGTCAAATTTAATGTCAGGATTTTATTTTATTTTGATTTGATGTTCTAAAGCTTTAAAATATATGTAGATTTTATTGTACATTGTGTACTTAGGTACTGGTAGAGCATGTGATGCTGTTTTCTTACTATGCTAAAACACAAAGAGAGAACTCAAGCACATGGACTAAGACAAATCCACCTGTTTAAGACTAACTAAATGACTTTTCTTTCGTGATATTTACATTTCTTAGAGGTGCTGCTCAGAGAGTTGAGAAAGAAAAAAAAGAGATATACAAATAGCACAAAATCCACCTTTCTAAACAAGGCACAAGGAATACCCTCTTGACATTATTGGCTGCCTGCAGGAGTCCTCTATCTTCTCGGTTTGGGATTCACATTTGTGTGGAAGACATTTTAAAACGCTTCGTCGAGGAGGAGACACGAGCTGACACACACAAGTGAGTGAACGTGCAACCAGGAGCCGTGTTGCATTGACTACCACTGACACTGGAGCAGCTGCCAGCTTTTCCTTGAAAGGGTCTCTCCCGTTAGTGCCGCACAAAAACTCTGACTGCTACAAACACAACAAATATTGTTCAAAAAGCACAGCTGTGAGCGACGAGAATGTTACAGGATTTCCAAGAGATGTGAAAAGAAGATATATATATATATATACACACACAAGGACAAGGTGAGAAGGCAGACCTATGTTCATGTGAATGTGCATCTGTACACAGTAAAGCCGTGTGCATGAGGCAGACTGCAGGGACAGCGGCCGACTCATCTCTGCGGAGTCATGAGGAGCGTGCTATCCTCGCCCTGTGTTGCTAACAGAGAGATTTACACTATTATAAAGAACTATTAATTATTGTGATTGTGAACCCTATTTGAGTGGACTACATCCTATGGTACTGTGTTTACTTACCTGACCTCAAGCCATAGACAGTAGACTAACGATGAGTTCACCTTTTACAAACTTGCAATGATGTGAAGCGGGAATAGACTGGAAAAGAATCATAACACAAACACATTTAACATAGCCATATAGGGCCGACCTTAAAGCATCCGTTTGTGATAAGCGCTCCCAGTTGTCTAATAAAGTAATAACATCACAATTTGCCAGTATCTTAATCTAGTGCCTGTGATGTGACACATGTAGCTCCTAAGCACTGATTACTGATGTAATCCTCCTGGAACTGCACCAACTATGTATTATGTCTGACTGCTTACTATCTTGGCTCCATCTTGTTGTATCTATATATATGATGAAAGAGAGAGAAAGAGTTGAGAAGTATATAGTTCAGACCAATGGAATGAGATTATGCTTATCAATTCTGATTGTTGAAGTTTTGCCCCACGTGAACTGTAGGAGAGAGAGAGAGAGATTTATAGTGAGAGACAGAGAGACATACGTAGATAGAGAGAGAGAGACATACTGTATGTATAGAGAGAGTGATCGAGACAGAGAGACAGAAAGAGAAAGATTTATAGTGAGACATAGATAGAGAGAGACAGAGAGAGAGACATATGTATTGAAAGAAAGACACAGAGAGACATACTGTATATAGAGAGAGTGATCAAGACAGAACGAGAGATTGAGACAGAGAGAGAGATCTCACCGAACCAACTGGACACCAAATTGAGACATAATAAAGATGTTAGACAATATTACATTTGGCCTCTTTAAAATAGTTTTATGTCAAAATTAGTAACTGTTGAAGCTTTTCATTTCAACCCAGTTAATCATTTAAACACATAGCAAAACAGAAGCCTTTATTTGTGGTACTACCGTGATGTTAGCTACAGTTACTTACCTCCTGTAACTTGTAACGCTCTGTAGCCACCTAAAGGGATAGGAACAAAGCAACTGTTCTAACCTTTTGCACGTCAAAATAACTCCATGTGTTTTTTTTTTTTCCCCCGTGTGATTGTAGATAGTGGATTGTCCGAGTCTACTGTCTGTGGCTTCAGTCCTTCGCTGTTCTCTCTCTCTTCATGTCGCCACTCACTTGTGCTCACTGTATTTGTTACTGCTATGTTTCCCCCCCTTGTTATTTCAGCGTAAAGAAGAAGAGACATTATTGGCCACTGCCCTCCCTATCCTTCCCCCGCTCAAGTCTCCTCCAGTCTCACATGGCCACTTCCAGACAGACGAGTCTCTGCTGGACCGACTTGATAAAGTAGAGGAATCAGAGGCACTAATCATTCCATTTATACCGCTCATTACACCGCATCAATCCCCCAGGTGCTCCAGCCCTCTGTCGTTCTTACTATGTTACCCCTTTAATTGCCTTATCATCAGCTGCCGAGTTCCAAGTCGCTCAACAGCCTTTGTGCGAACCCGGAGAAGCCCAACTAACCCCAAACGTCTTCATTATTTTCCGTTCCTTCTTTGTTCTTTTTAGTGAAGTACTAAAGATTGTTTTGCTGAATCTTGAGATGTGTTGAAAATGTTCTTGTCAACATTTAATAAACATTCACATTTTGTAAATGCTGAACATCCTTAAGTCGTGTTTTTGTGGTTTTGTCATTTGGGGGCGAAATGCAGCAGAGTTTTTTTCTTTGCTTAAATTACAGACAAGGGAAAATTCGCTCGGGGCTAAGATCTCAGGCGTCCTCAGGAATTATCACGAATCACCAAAGGTCCACAGGTAATACTACTTCCCGGTGCGAATAGGGCGATACAGTCTTAGCAGTTAGTCAAGTGTGGATAGCTATTGTGGTATTTTATTATCAAGTTGCCGTCCTGAACGACCCCCATGTAAAGAGAATACTGTTAGTGCTATTGAGCGGCCAACAAGGCAAGTTTATTTGTTCAGTTCGTACCAGTGGGGGCGGGTCCCGGCTCAAAAGTGGCCAAAATGACGTGCACTGACATGCTGCAATAC